AAAAAAAAAAAATCCAAAAAAGAAAAAATCAAACGGAGAACATCAATTAATCACAAAAACAACACATATACATACCCTCTTCTTCCTCGATATATCCCGACAGTGAGCGGCCGCCAGCGGCGGCGGCGAAGGAGAGGAAGAAACGGTGTTGATCAACTCAGAATCCATGGCGGAAAATGAATTCGAAGGATTGCAGAAACCCTAATTTGGTTTTTTTTTTTTTTTTTTTTTTTAGGTGGTGGTAGAGAAAGAGAGGCGTATATGCGTTTTAGCCGTTTTAGAGAGAGAGTGTGAACCAAAAGAGAGAAATGGATAACAGAAACTGCTCCGTTCCGCTCCGGTCGCCCTCTGATTTCGCAGACTATCCTCAACGGGGGCCAGGGGGGGCATATATATAGTACATTAAGTTACGAAACTACCCCTAAATCTTTTGCTTATTTACGATTTTACCTAAGGAAACTAACTCTAGTTCCGATGGAAAACTGGGAGCTGTGGGATGAGGTCATCATTGTCCAAGTGGAAAATATTGTTAACTGGAAACGACGTCGGGTTGTGATTAAACGTTGTCGTTTTTGTTTTATGGGTCTAATATCTTCTATGGTTGGTGCCCACTGCCCAGGAACAGAAGGGCCTTTAGGAGGATGATATTTTTTTTCTCTTTGAGAAAATTAGGGGATGATATTAATGTTTAATTTATCACTATTTTTTTAATTTTTAATAAATAAGATAAATAAATATTTTCCCTTCATTTATTTAATAACATAAAAAATTTATATATAAAAATAACATAAAAAATTATCCATCTAACACCGCTTTTTACGCAATACTCCACCCCTACGATTTCCGATAAAATCAACATCCCCACAAACCATATTACACACAAGAAATAAAATTCAGTTAAATAAAATCAATCCGTTTTAATGACTCGAAAATATAAACGTAACAGATCGACCTTGAGTGGAGTGAAAAACAAACAACTAACAAGCAAAGCAAACCGCTGTAATCCCCCCCCTCCAAAATCCGTCCCCATCACCATACCCGATCGCCCCCCTTGGTGCAATGTCGTCTCAGCTCCTGCTCACCGATCCCTCGTCGCCATAAAAGGGGCCAATGCACACGCCGGAATCATCAGTAATTTGTCTCTCACCAATGGCATCACCACCGCATCCTCCGCCGCCTGTACCGCCACCGTTGTCTGATTGAAAAACAAAAACGAAATATGGCTCAATCTTTCAAACTCAAAGTTAACACTCTCCTCACCAAGCTCGGTGACCGTGACACGTTCTCCATCGCCGCGGCGGAGCTGGAATCCATTTCCCGGACTCTTGACGCCTCCTCGCTTCCGACTTTTCTCTCTTGCATTCTCTCCACCCACTCCTCGGATAAAGCCGGCTTCCGCAAGCAATGCTTGAAGCTCATCTCTCTCCTGGCTTGTTCTTATTCTCAGTCGCTTTCGCCTTTCGTCCCCAAAATTCTCTCCCACTTGCTCCGCCGTCTGCGGGATCCTGACTCCGCTGTCCGCTCGGCTTGCGTTGATGCCGTTTCTGCACTCTCTTCTAATGTCACTAAATGCGGTTTCTCTTCTTTCCTGAAGCCTTTGTGTGATGCGGTGTTTACGGAGCAGGACCAGAATGCGCAGATCGGGGCGGCGTTGTGTTTGGCTGCCGCGATCGATGGGACGCCTGATCCTGATCCGGGGAGGTTGGGGAAGATCGTGCCGAGGTTGGAGAAGCTGGTGAAGTGCGATGCCTTCAGGGCGAAGGCTGCGGGTCTGACGGTGATCGGTAGCGTGATCGGCTCAGGTGGGGTTTCAGGTTTGGCTCCGGAGACCATTAAGGGGTTGGTGAATTGTCTGGTGAAGTTTTTGACCAGTGAGGATTGGGCAGCGAGGAAGGCAGCGTCGGAGGCGCTGTGGAGGCTGGCGGTGGTGGAGAAGGATTCAATGGCAGAGTTTAAGAGTGGATGCTTAAGGGTCTTTGAAGCGAGGAAATTTGATAAGGTCTTTTCTCATTTTGAGTGTTGCTTAATTTAATGAAATTTTCCTTTTCCCAATTCAAGTTAAAACTTAACTTTAAGGGTGTAATTTTGTTTTTGATTATTATTTTTGTGGGTGGATTTGAATAGGTGAAGGCTGTTAGGGAGGTGATGAACCAAATGCTGGAAGCATGGAAGCAGGTCCCTGATGTTTCTGAGGAATCGTCACCACCACCCAGCTCTCAGGTTTCCTCCAAAGGTATGGGAATGATCTATGAGCAATTGAAGAAGATCTATATTAGGAAGGTTACTAAGAACTGAGGAATTTATGATGTTTGGATTTGATAGAAGATCTGAGCAAATTAAGAATGTCCTGAGAGAGCAAATTAAGAATGTCCTGAGAGAAGTTATGTCATTTATGATATTTGTGGATTCATTGACTGATCTTGCCGTTTATTTGTCTTTGACTGTTTCTTTCCAAGTGTAATTTGATCTATTTTTCTTCTGGATTTTGCTGGATTATGTTAACAGGAGATGTAAGTGATGGACGCTATCCACCTGGCTCTAAGGTTTCTTCCACACCTGGTCCTGGGGTAACTCAAATCAGGAAGAAACCTGCTTTGGCTACCCTGTCTACTCCCCCTGGTAGTTCCTTTGCCACAACTGCTAGGAAGAGAAGTCCTTTAAAAAGTAGTGACAAGAAAACTAGTCCTGCAACATTTCTGAATGTAAACCGGAAGAAAGATTGGAAAGTTGAGATTGCTGTTCCTAATGCTCCCACTTTGACAAGGTCTCGTGATGATGATATTAAGGAGAGAAGTGGTAATCCCAGGGAAAGGAGAAATGATGAGAATGGAGGATTGTCTAGGCCAGAAATAAAGCGAGCACTTTTCCCTAAGAATTCTGATGACAAGATGAATAAATTTGGGAGATTGAAGTCTGGATCACGTGTCACTCCTTGTCCTGAGGAAACTCATGAACCTACTGCTGTAGCTAATTCGAATGAGAATCATAATGGAAACCACAAAGAATGTGAAGATTTATCTTTGATCCGCAGCCAGCTTGTTCAGATAGAAAAGCAGCAGTCCAGCTTGCTAGATCTCCTGCAGGTTTGTTTCTGGTGCTTAATCAGAAAAATGAGATTTCTTTAAATTTCTTTCCATTGGACTGTACTGGGGCATACCATCAGGTTGCTCAATAACTTGTTCACTTTATTCTTGACTTACTAAGAAAATCAACTTTAAACTGCTGAGTCTCACATCATTTGGTAGCCATCTGTAGCACCCTATTTTGCTGGGACAAATACGATGCATCTAATCCAATATTTTTACCTTACAAAAAGGATAATTGGTCCTTGGTAATTGGAAATCTATGCCCCCAACTATATACACTGTGCAAATGCATCTTTGACCTATTTAATATTTCACTTCTTTTGACAGAGATTCATTGGAAGCTCACAGAGTGGAATGCGTTCCCTCGAGACACGTGTGCATGGCCTAGAGCTAGCTTTGGATGAGATCTCATATGACTTGGCTGTGTCAAGTGGGAGGATGTCTAATTCTCACAGGAGTACATGTTGCCTGCTACCTGGTGCTGAATTTTGGAGCTCCAAATTCTGGAGGAAACCTGATGCAAGGTTTTCTGCTTCCAATGGTACCCCTATAGCGGCTGCAGTGCGTTATAGAGCTGATCGGAACTGCCATGCAGAAAATCTTCAGCTGGAGAACCAAAGGTTACAGCATCAAGGTCATGGGGCGTTCATTGTGAATCCATTGGCAGAAATTCATAGTGATTCAAGGGGTGATCTTTGAGACTGCCATGGTGCTTCAGTGACTGTTAGAAGCAAAAGGTATTGCATGCTAAATTTTACTTCTGGCTGTTGAATATCATTCGCAATCACCATTTCTCTAATTTCATCTACTCACATGAGTGTCTTGAGGACAGACAAGGCAGATTTGATCCTTTCAGCTAGACAAGCAATGTCTTTGACTTTGCCCAAATATCTGGCTATCAATTGGGATGTGTGTTCCTCATAATTGCATTTTTCCCAGAGCATGTAGCACTTTCCATTTGGATCATAGGAGTAGATAAGCTTATTTATTTTTGATTCCTCTATAGGAAAATGAAACTATTCTGAAAATTCGGCATCATTTCTTATGTTTCCACCTGCATTTTCTTATTTGCATCCTCTTTTGCTGGGTAACAGATCCAAACTGTACTTGAGATGGAAAACTGAGCTCTATAAATCAGATGATTAGAAGACAATGAAGAAAATAGAGCCTTTGCCTTACAGCCTCTCGTGAAGTGCCAATTTCTAATTGAGTGGACTTCTTTATACGGTTTGTATTACATTGTCCTATGAGAATAGCCTAAATGTCTATCTTACGCACTGCAGAGAATTGAATTGAGAGACCAAACAAAGAAGATATAATAGGATGATTAATTAGTTCATGTTTCTCATGTTAAGAAGTTTCAAGTAAAACTAGGGCTGGGTGGAAAAGAGTGTGGCTGTCCCCTGCTTTTATAGAGAATTGGAGCGTGATACATGTACAGAATCTACAGATTCCTGATGTTTTGAAACACCTTTCCATTTTCCACTTGGTTTATAGTCTGGAAAATGATTCACCTACAATGTTTAAGTACAATGCTTACTTATAATATGACATGCCTATGATAAGTATACATTCACCAATTTAATATTATGTTATTACGTACATTTTACTTATAGCATTGTAGTTTACCATTGATCTGAAATGCAATTTTATGTTCTAAGAGTCCGTATTCCAACCTTCATTCCAATTCAATTTCATTTTATTTTCATTCTAATACTGCCAAAATTTCCAAACTAGGCACAAAGCTTGGTCTACCCTCCTCTGACAGAGTTACATGTTTTTCCGTTTTTTTTCTTTTCTACGTCCGGCAAACTACCCAAATGGCCGAACCAAAAACCCAGAGACTAGAACCTCTTATAATGAAAAGTTCTCTACCTCTATCCTTTGTTTCCAATTTCCTAATCTATCCCCTTTCTTGTATTGCAAGAGCAACTGCTTAAAATTAATATAGCAAGAAATTTTTTCTTCTGCAATTTTTCTAGAAGAAAAATTGCGGTATTGCATGTTTGTTTAGATCAAATCCAAGATCAAATCCAAGATCTGCTGGTATTGCTTGCTTGTTTAGCCATTTTGAAGAGTTATCCAAAATTTGTAAGCCCAAAAAATATAGTATACGAAATGGAGGAAGGCAGAAAGGTCGTCCTTTTGTTTTTTTTAATGTTTTGGAGTCATTAAACTTTTATTGGAAAATAAAAGTGAAAAGATAAATTAAAAAAATTTTGCATTGCAAAAAACGACAAATAAATAGGAATAAAAATTTATCCTTTAAATAACCAAAAAAGAATGAAACAAAAAAAACATTTATTACACTTTTAATCTGTACTAACCGGCAAAAGTAGGTTAGACAGAGCTTTATTTATTTCCATTGTATTTTTGTACATTTACAAAATTTTAATGGGCTGACTTTAAGTATGCGAGAACACCCACAAGTGGAGCATTAATATACATTTTTGGCTCCGAGTGCACTGATTTCCTAGAATCATCATAAACACCGTTAATATCAGGTCCTCCAACCACAGCTCCAATTAGCAAATTCTGATTGGGATCTGAGCTGTTGTAATAAGATAATCCTTCCTTGCAATCAATTCGCTTTGGGTGTATAGACTTGGATGGCAGTGAAGATCCTTTATGGCGTATTCTCTGTGGGTATTTGTTCCCATATCCAACCATGAACGACATGCCCAACGGATTGTTTCCTAGAATGTAATCCACCTGTATTGATGAAATGCCTGAATCAGGTCAGGTCCAATTGTGGACTGCGGGAATGATAGTTGAATACTATATCATGTGCAAGTTCCAATTACCTGACTTCTCGCGAACTCTGTTAGCATTTCAGGATTAACGATCGTCTCCCCACAATAAACTTGTCTCCTGGCTTGACCCAAAGTGCGCCCATAGACCAGTAGAAGGAATGATAGAGCTGTGGCATGTTCTAGGCTACTTCCCCCTTGTTTGAAAAGAAGCCCACCTAGAATGTATTTTAAAGGAAAATTAGCTGATGAAGTGTGCAAAATTGCAAATTATCAACAAAGTTTTTGACCAAAAAAAAAAAAAAAAATCAACCACCTTGTAAGAAGGAGGCACTTGAGGTCCCTGAATTGGGCAACAATGAACACACCAACTTATCGGCATTGGAAAGAAATAGGTGAGAACTCTCTGTGTCAGTCATGTTCAACTGCAAACCAAAAAAAAAAAAAAGAGAGAGAAAAAGAGAAATGACCCAATGGCAGTGAAGAATATTAAGCTCAAAGAGTTCCAATTAATTTTCTTACAAAGAACAAAAGATTGTTAAGCACTTGCCTTAGAAATGAGGACATTTATACCAGCATGTTTGTTATCCCACCCGAATTCTGAAAAGCTACCATTGGAAAAATAGGCCTCCAGTTTGCTCATGTTCTGAAAAATGTAGTTCCGGTATTTTTCAAGCTTTGTCGCATTGTACAACCATGCTGCTGCCCAAATTAATTCGTCCTGTAAAAATATTTAGATTCACTTGAGCAAGATCAAGCTTAGCATGATTCCTATGCAAATGTAGTTTCATATCTAGCAGTAAGTATTTTCCATTAGAGTTTGTATGTATTTTACATAATAAGATGCACTTTATTTATTCACTTGAACATACTTTGCTGTTAATTGTGAAAGAACCCGACTTTAATAGTTATGACTATATATTTAGATTAGATGGAACTGGCTCTGCATATACCAGTGAATATGCTTTATTGAATTTGCCAAGAGTTGGTGCAGAATTGCGCTAACAATGACTTACCATAGCTACCACAGTATCAGTTGTATGGTTTGACAGTCCCAAATCTAAAGAACATAAAAGAGACCCAAGAAATGGCATTGCTCTATGAGATGGGCAGAAATTTCTATGACTTTGGGGGTGCAATTTTGTAAGCAGTTGGGCAATTTTATAATTTTATTTGATTTTTGACGTCTGTTTTTCCTTTACTATACAGCCTTTGTCACTGTCGTTTTAAGTTTTCCTTTCTCATGTATTCCTGGTTAAGTGAGATGGGATTCACCTTCCTGATGTTCAGAGCAGGGGAAATTCAGCATGAAAGAAGATCTACTGTTGCTGGACTGCTGCTGGAAAGAGAGCTTATGTGTCAAAGAAGAACTTTTTGGTTGCCATTCCATCACAAAAACTCTTGCTCTGGAATTGCAACAATTTATTTCTTTTCCTTTGGTTGTGCCCATCTGCTGTTCACTATGTTTCAGATTTCTTTTGGGGAGGGATCAGTGATGTCAGTTCATGTTCAGTATGTGCATTGAGTTGGCATCCCTCTTGCTTCAATTGGATGCCCAGTCGCTCTTTTTTGTTTAATCTGGTTTGTCTTAATTGCGTTTTACCTTTTGTTTCAACTTGTGATGAGGGCTGATTTGCCGGGTTATGGCTGGGGCAAGGACAGTCCAGAGAGAAGGGAAACTGGGATTTTTGCATTGGTTCTGGAGTATCAATGACTAAACTTAATTTGGATTGCTTAGTGTATGAAAACTTATTTTGGATTGCATTGGTTCTGGGGTATCATATTTTGTTATTGTATTGCTATTGACTAAACTGAATGCTAGTACATAGCAATGGAATATTGTTTAATAAGAGTGGTATTATTCTAGCCTAGTGCAGCTACTGGAATTACTGTTTCTGACAATTCAGTCTATTAAGTGTTTAATTTAATGGTTAAGTACTTCAAATTATAGAAGGTTCTTAACATCCAGATATGAGCTGTGAGTTCATACCCTACTTCTCACTCATTTCAGATAGTTGATCTTTGGGAGGCAGAGGACTTTTTTAGCTAGGTGGCTCTACATGCTCCAACCAAAGCTCGTGTTGATCTTGGTGAGGTAAACTTGTATCTATCAAAACTAAAGGGCTCAAAACTACATCTTTTTATGTAAGTGTGTCCTGTAATCTAAGCTATTTTGCAAACTATAACCAGAGTTTTATTTTGAACTCAAGAATCACCAAATTGTTGAAAGCAAAGCTGTTTTCTTCAAACCACTTATGGCTGTTTTCAAATAATTTATGACTATTTGGGTTATAAAAGTCATACGTGATCTCTCCCAAGGAAGGAGCAGGTCTGGTCATGACTTGCTAAGGATATGTTCAAGCAATATTCTTGAATATAGAACTGATCTGCTTTTACCATTAACCATTATAGAGAAGTACAACAATGACCTGAGTTCTATTTGTGAAATTATGGTCCAAACCACTGAAAGTGAGAAAGACACTAAATAGATAGTAAAGCAGTTGATGATCTATGCAGTCCACATAAAATAGATAGTAAAAGCTTCACAACAGGAAGCACTGTACAACTGTGCTTTTGAGCAATCCAGCATTGCTAAGTCATGCAAAGAAGCCTTTTGATCGGAATGCAAATATTCCAGTATTCTGTTTCAATTACCTGGTTGTTTTATCAAATGTTTAAAAATCTTTAAGCAAAAATCCATCAATGTAATGAAAATGTTTCCAAAATTTCTATACCTCTGTGGATATCCTACTTTAAATAGCTTGAGTAAATTTTAACATTATTTAATCTCCCTTTAAGTTTTTACTACAATTCTCTAATCCCTGACACAAAAACCCAGTAATTGTCCTGGCAAAGAACAAGAACAAGCAGGATACTAACAGCTTCATCCCCAAAATGATGATCCATCTTGGAAAAAGGGAGAAAAAGATTTTAAATAGTAATTTATGAAGCTTAAGTGCTGAGGATTTGGTATATATTTACCTTCTTTCCACTATCTTGGTAATTGGTGCCATATTACTAATGCATTTCATTTCTCAAGGATTTTCAGTTTCATTTGGTTATATGAGAGAAAAAATAAATTCATTTGCAAAAGTGATACACAAGGAAGTTAACATGTTTGACATAAACCACACCCCCCACCCCTATTTTTTTTTTGATGTTTTTGATGTAAGGCACGGGGTAGACTCAACCCTTACACTAAGAAGACTTGAACTCCTCAAGATAGAGTTGAACAACAAGGGATTGCAAAGGAGACTCAAACTCCTTAAGAAAAAAATCCACTAAAAATATGAACTACCCAAACACATTAACCCTAATTCTATACTACAGCTCAAAGTAGTAGAGTATCAAAGTTCAACCAATTCCTTTGGCTTCTTTGACAGGCTCCTGCATCATTTTTTCAGTAAAGTACTCTGCTTCTTTTTCTTGGTTAACTTATCATATATTAGAAATTATGTATATTGTATAACATAGGAACATATATTACACAATCAAAGACCACCCCACAAAATACAACAGACCATATTAAATATTTGATTAAGCCCACAACTCATTTATTTCCCTAATTCATTGCACATAAACTTCAAAATGATCATAATTTACCATTAAAGTTGCATCAACACCGAAAAAACTAACCTCATATTCAGCTGAACAACCAGAGGGGCACACCCATGGACCCACACGAATGTATGAACCTCGATTCTTATCTGAAAATTCAAAAATCTATGAAGAAAAACTAGGTGTTACTCATTGAGCATGCTAATATATAATGTGAAAAAAAAAATTCACAAATTAATACCTTTTCAGATCTTTCAAGGAGCTTTGCAGCATAGGCAGGGTCAATATGCTTAAAAACCATGGACGACGCAGCAAGTGCAGAAGCAATTTCAGCTGTAACATCTGATCCAGGAAATTGTTTGCTGACGTTGTAAAGTTGTCTAGGGTAATCTAAATCCTCAGGCCTCTGCCAGCAGTTCTGCCCACTGTGATTTTGGTTTCCTACTTGAATATATACATAGCCAAAGGAGTTTGTTGCTTTGAGAAGGAAATCAGTCCCCCACCGAATGGCATCTTTTGCATACTGCAATTCCAGTTCCATGTAGCTACCAAACTCTAGCACACTCCAAGAGAGCATAGTGATTGAATATGCCATTTCAAAGCTTGATTTAAGGTTGTCACCACCACTATAGTATCCTCCTACCAAATCAACCTAGTTCAAAAAAGTGTATTAATTTACAAGAAGTTTTCTGAATTTGGGGGAAAAAAAAAGCCATTTAAAAAAACAAAAAAAATATAAATTTAATAAATAAAATGAAAAATAAACATAATAGCTTATAAAAATTCTAAAAAAAAAAGACAAATAATATCCTCAAGAAAATAAATATCAAAAAGCCACCACGACAATATAAAAACTAAAATAGAGTTCAGAATTGGCATAAGACAAATTTCCAAAGATACTCTTTCTATACCTCTATCCAAATAGAGTTAAATCCATTAAGTACAATTCAAATACAATGAACTCAGTTTCCCTAAAATCTATGCCTTTGTTGATTTTTAACCAAGATATGTCAAAAGTCATTAACCAAAGGAAAAATCCCAATTCGGAATCAAAAACCTAAAAAGCCAAATTAGGCTTACTTCCCAATTAAACCCCCAATTGAAAAGAGACAATAACAGATCCTAATAAATGTAAATATTTCCATTTAATTCCTATTTATTAATAATCATAATAAAATCCTAATAAATATATTAGTTCCTTCCTCCTCTGCATCATTCAGTTTCTGTAAAATCAATGGATTTGTTGATTTTTTTACTGCGATGTTGTCAAAACTCTATAACCAAAAGAAAAAATCCCAATCGGGAATTGAAAACCTCTCTATTCTCTCTCTGCATAGAAACAGTTATTCATACTCACATGAGATTGGAAGCCATCGCGAAGAGAAGAGTCTTGGCGCCACTTTACCCTTTGCGATTGAGGGAGCTTTCCTGACCTCTGTGCTTCGAAAAAGAGAAGACTTTTAGATAATGCATCTCCATAATCAGACGGTGCGACACCATGAGTTGATCGCACCAAGAGACCAAAAACTAAAATCAGGAGGAGCCTCCACATGGATACGAAGATGGAGAAAAGTGGGGGCGGAAGAGCAGAAAACAATGGTGTATGTGAAGTGGGGAAAGGAGAGCGTGAAAAAATGTGACGTGAGTTTCCTTTGTCAACAAAGTATATTCAGTCAAAAAATGTCTTTTTCAATCAAAAAGGAACCATATCAATTTTTTTTCATGGTTTTAAAACCCGGCCCGGCCCGGCCGGTTGAACCGGTTGAACCGGACCTGGACATAAAAACGGGCCGGTTTCATGCACTAGCCCGTTTTGCAAATTGGCCCGTGTTAGCCCGCCAGATTCGTTGGACCCGCTCCAAATGCCCAGCCCGTCCCACCCGCCGGGCAGAATCATTGATGCTTTATTAACCTTTTTTTTTTATGTAATTTACTTATTTTACTTTTTTTTTT